ATAACACATTGCATAGGCAGTCAATATGTAATTAAGGAATAGGTGACCCCTGCTAAATCCTCATCCCGCCCTCGCCTATCCTTGCCAGTTATTACACCAATGGGTAGTCAGGACAATCTACACAAAAATACTTTTTTGCCTTTACTCCATGGGAAGAACATGCCTCCCTTCATGAGAGGTTGGGGGGGGGATTCTCCTGATTGATCCCCCTTTGGGAAAGCTTGCAAATCCCCCTCCCATCAGAAACAGTTCCCAGGCAGCAGAGAGAAGCAGGATTCAACTGGGCTGCTTCTCTGCTACACGGGAGCCCTTTCCGATGGGAGGGGGACTTACAAGCTTTTTGCTCTCGGGAGAGGCTCCCTCGCTCTCCCAGCTGGAGCAGCAGGTGAGTTAAGCAGCCGTTGACCTGGCCGGAGCCAACAGGAGCCTCTCCACGTGTTCCCTGGAGGAAGGCAAGTGGTGGTGGTTGTGGGGGGAAGGTGCCCGGCAGCGGTGGCAAAATGCAAGTGATGGTGGGGGAGGGGGAGGGGCAAAACAAAAGGGTAGTGGTGTTGCAGAGGCTTGCAGAGCCTCACTCACCCAGGGAGATCATCACATCGGGCAGGGCCACAGCAAAAAGCAGGCAGCAATGGCTGGCCTGGCAGGTGGGCAAAAGTAGGCTGCAGGCATGTCGCGCATGCACACAATGTTTCACATGCGCGATAGGGACTGACTGGGCAGGGAGTGGAGAAACGGGAGGAGAGGGGCAGGGCCAGCCAGAGGCCCAATTTACTGGTTCTCTGAACTACAGAGAATCATAACAACCGGTTCTACTCAACCGGTCCGAACCGGTAGAATCCCACCCCTGATATGAATGCACCCTGAAAATCCATTTCAGATCAGCTTTTGGCCTGGATTATGGTAAGAAGCAACCAATTTCCCCAAATTGGAACTTCCTAGACCACATGTCCCAAAGATGCTTTTTCAAGAGGCAACTGGGCTTTCTTATTATTCTTTGAAGACATTTCACTTCTCATCCAAGAAACTTCTTCAGCACTGAAGAAGCTTCTTGGATTAGAAGCAAAACATCTTCAAAGAACAACAAGAAAGTCCAATTGCCTCTTGAAAAAGCACCTTTGGGACAACCATGACCTGGATGACTGAGAATCTCCAGACTCTGAGACCACTTCATTCATAGCACTGCTGGTAATAGAGCTAAAGCTCAGATTAAGACCTGCTATCTCCTCTACACATGTATTTCATTCATCAGGAACCTTACGTTAATTCATGCATTGACTACTCAGGCATATTTATAAGCTGCTCAAGAGCCAAGAAAATTGCAGAGACTTGTCCAGGCAGTCTCAAAGACTGAATGGAATAAAAAAAAGTACTTCCACAGGAGTGTGTGTATCTGAAACTGACCTTTCTGCAACAAGTTACCAAAGCATGTATCTGCCGCTGAATAATATATGTTTAGCAGGGGTGTCAAAGTCAAGGCCCGGGGACCGGATCCGGCTTGCGGGATGCTTAGATCTGGCTAGCAGGGCTGCCCTGGAAATAGCAAAGGAATGGCCTGCAGTTCCTTTGCCAGCAAAAATGGAGCTGAGGAGGGCCTCTGTTTTCGCTGGCAGAGGGTTGCAGAAGGCCATCCCAGCCAAAAGCGGAGCTAAGGAGCCCATTTTTGCTTTCAGAGCGCTTGAGCCACCACAGGAGCCACCAACACAAGTGACATCGTGTGGCCATGCCCCCCCAAAATTAAACACAACCCTGATGCGACCCTCAATGAAATCGAATTTGACACCCCTGATGTACAGGGTCATGGAAAATTTGGTCTACAACAATTCGCCATGGCCAACTCACCACGGCTAACTCGCCACAGCCACCAGACTTGAAATTCTAGACCTAGAAAACCTAGAACTACGCCACCTTCGGTCCAATCTAAATATAGTATATAAAATCATACATTGCAATGTCCTACCTGTCAATGAATACTTCAGCTTCAACCACAACAATACAAGAGCAAACAATAGATACAAACTCAAGGTAAACCGCACCAAACTTGATTGCAGGAAATACGACTTCAGCAACAGAGTGGTCAATGTCTGGAATACTCTACCTGACTCTGTGGTTTCTTCCCCAAACACTTTAACCTTAGACTGTCTACTATTGACCTCACCCCTTTCCTAAGAGGTCTGTAGGGGGAGTGCATAAGCGCACCAACGTGCCTACCATCCCTGTCCTATTGTTTCTTTTTATTTTTCTTATATGTATCCATTTCATGTATTCATAACTATGTTTATACTTATACCTATTATGTTGTAAGCGATTGACAAATCAAATAAATAAAAATAAATAAAATAAACTCGCTGCAGGACAACTCACTGCTGGACAAGAGTTACACTAATACCAAAGAAATGGTAGAACAGAATCATTAAAGAAAGGATGCGAAAAGAGGGACAGAATGAAATGTGAGTGGCAAAAATTAAAATAATTTTTATTTATTTTAAATAATTAAACAGAATTGTTAAATTGTCCCGCAGTGAGTTGTCCTGCAGTGACTTGGCCACGGAGAGTTGGCTGCAGCAAGTTGGCTGTGGCAAGTTGTCCCATTCCCTGGAAAATTTCCTGAGTCAAAATATATTCTCCAAAAAGTAACGAATAGTACGAGGACAAAAACTAAACTCAAATTTATTTCATTAAAATTAAAGGGTCTCTGGTCCCCCTCTGTCACATTAAAATTATATTTGGGTAACCCCTTACACAAGAGCCTGTGGAGTTGCACACACAACTTTCAGGAACTTCAGATTGTGAATATTTATCCAAAACTAGTATCATGTCAAAAGCGTATCACATAATAGCATTTTTAAACAAATATTCCATTCCAGAACAGAATGTTTCTCTATTAGTTCATCCACTACAGGGACAGATAAATTTACCTAGACCTGAGGAACAGAACATTTCACACTTCCCTACTTAATAGGAGTAAGTGCATCTTAATCAGAATTCCAGCCAACCATGGCCTTCTCCAGCAAATCATTTCATCTCTCTCCATCTCTGCACATCCAACACTCCATGGCCATCACTATACTTGATCCTCGCTGGATTGTTTCGGGTTAGTTACCTTTTGCCTAATATGGCCTTTAGAAAAGAAGCACTTGTATTTTTGCAAATCTAAGAAACAAAGAAGCTTCTGTACACTAGATTTCTATTTCCCAAGCAAGTTTGCCATTGGAGGAAATGATGTCAACTTTCCAGAAAAACACTGCAGGAAAAGAACCAACCCCCTGACTCACATTGTTCTTGGCGTTGGGCTTCATGCCAATGGTGCCAAATATCTCCTCTCCTGTCTTCACTGTTAGATAGTCTTCCATGTAAAAGACTGTCTGTTTCCAGTGGGTGTAGGGAGATTCAGGGCCTGAAAATAGTAAGAAAATGAACTGAACAGAGGGCAGCCAGGAGGGAAAAAAAGTACCCAAAATGTGTCTCCAACCATGTGCTTGACTTAGTTGACTTTAGATATTTTCCTCCAGATAAACTAAAGTTCTCTGAATACCCCAATAATTCTACTTTTCAATCTCTCAATCAGTAAAATCTACAAGAATGCTGCGGTAGGAGGATACCCAAGCTACTGAAAAAACAGCCTAGATAAACCTGCCGCAATAGTCCTATCTGTTTGTCAGCAATAGTTTACCGTGTTTCCCCCAAAATAAGACCTGATCTTATATTTTGGGGGGGCTCCAAAATAAGCACTAGGGCTTTTTCAGGGGATGTCTTTTTTTTTTCATGTAGAGGAGGTGGCGAGCATGGGGGCCGCCAGCCCGGCCATCTCCATCCCACCATCTGCTTGCCCGCAGCCACAACGGGCCAAGTTCTCAGTGCACCCCTGCCTCCACCCACCCTGCCTGTTGGCCCTGCTGCTGCTGGGACACTCGAGCTTGGGTCTTGCTCAGGCTGCTGCTATGAGGAGGCAGAAGGCCATGCAGTGCCTGTGACTGCTCTGCTGCTGCCGCCTCGCCTTCAGCCCAGCCCAGCCTGTGGGCCAGTGCTGCAATGAGATGAGGTGAGGCAGGTGGCAGGGTGGTGGTGGAGCTGCCTCCCTCCGCCTGCCAGGCACCCGCCAAAGCTGTGCAGGGCAAGGGAGGGGCGCACTGCTTGGCCTGCAGGATTGCATGGGGTAGCTCCAGCAGAAGGTACAGAAGTGTAGGCTACCGGGTACCGTAGCAGCCTGGGCTTGACTGAGGGCTGGTCAGAAGGAGAGACAGCGGCAGCAGAGCAGTTGCAGGTGAGGTAAAGGATTGAAGTAGGTATGGGTTCAGCCTGTAGCCCAGCACCACTATTACATAGTAGGCAAGCAGCCGATGCTCAGCAGCCCAAAGTCGATGGTGGGCAAGGCAGCATGGCTCCACCGGCGACCACTGACGAAGGGGCCCTGGCAGGCCAGCAGTGGGGGGAGGCACTTCAACGTTCACAGATCTGGGCCAACTTGCCCCACACCAGGCAGGAGCAGCCCAGTGGGATGGCCAAGAACAGCGCAGCCAGGAGGGTGAAGAGCTCCTGTGAGGCCAGCAGCAGCAGGTGCAGCAGGTGCAGCAGGCCCAGCAGCCAGGCAGAGGCATGGGGGGGGGGGGTGAGCTGATCCTGATGTGCCGTGCAGCCTTCTACCTTGTTGTACCAGTTGTAGCAGCTTGAGCAAGACCCGAGCTCCAGATGTGGCAGAGCGCAAACTGTGGTTGTCACCTGCTCCAGAGCCAAAAGGTGAGCTGCAGAACAGAGGGACCCTCAGTGGCGAGATTGCCTAGCACCACAGGCAGGGCCAGGGCTGGCAAGAGTGTGCAGGAAACACCTCCAGGCAGCCAGAGAGATGGAACAAGGTAGCTCCCGGCCCTTGCCGGCTCAGCCAATCCACGGGGCAACGATTAAGCGGCCGAGCCGGGTCCAGGCCAAGCTTGGGGTGGCGCTTTACCCACATTGTCGATCCCAGTGCTACACCGAGTCACAACGCCCCCCCCCCACACACACACACTTGGCACCAAGGACTGGCCGCTGAAGTCACACTAATGCGAAGGGAAGGGGCTGAGCCTCCATGAGGTGACGGGAAGGGCTAAGTGCCACCTCAGGTATTGCTTACCATGTTTGTGAGGGGACACGTGGTTGGTCGGGTGGTTGATGGCTGTTCCTGGCACAGAGGGTGGGGGGAGGGGAATAAGCTTTCTCCTCTAGCTTCATCACCCCCTCCTCAGCCGGGGGGCGGGGTGGCGGGGTGGTTACAGCTTCCACTCAGGCCTTCAATTTATGTGGGCTTCTGAATCGGTATACCCAGAAGTGAGGTAGAATACCCTCCCTTCAGTTACTTTTTTTTTTTTTGCAGCGTTCTATTTTCTGCCTTTGTTTGGGCGATTTGTACATCTTTCGTGCCTGCCCACTCTGTCCCATCTCTCTGCTTGCCTGCAGCTGCTACCAGACACTTGCCACCTCCTGTGATGGCCGCATCCACCCCTGCCCCCAGGCTGATGCTCTTCACTAGGGCTTATTTTAGAGGTGGGGCATATATTAACCACATGCATAAAAATCATGCTAGGGCTTATTTTCAGGATAGGCCTTATTTTTGGGAAAACGTGGTGGTTCAGTGTTACTCAACCTTAGCCACTTTGAGACATGTGGTCTTCCAACTCCCAGAATTCCCAGCTGGTATGATTGGTTGGGGGATTCTAGGAGTTGAAGTCCATTCAATTTAAAGTTGCTAAGGTTGAGAAACACAAATCTAGCCTTTCCAATAGTGCTGCATTACTGTAAGATATTAACTAGTCATATTTTAAAACTGAAAATGCCATTGGTTTAGTTCTATCCTTTACCAGAATATTAACATTTTAGCACCCAAACTCCCCCACACTGGATCAAAATCCCTTCTTGCTGATTTCCCACACTGAGGCAACAAGTGCCCTTACTGGTAGAGAATCCAGTTCGCTTGTGGCATCGGGTAAACTCTATGTTGAAATAGGCAACCAAGGCATGGATGTAGTCATTGCGCTTCACTTGGAGACAGAAGGGGGATGTGAAGGTGAGGTCCTCCACCTTCACTGTGTAGATGTCGACCTCCTGCCACAGGTGAGTAGGAAGGAGAGAGAAAACAAGACAGGTCAACATACCTTCACTATCCTCACAAAACAGTAACAATCATTCTTTCTGATAGCAAGCTCCTGCAGATTGCAAAAATAGCAATCCTTTAGAGCCAAAACAGTAACATCTGAAAGCAAAATATTTGGAGGCATCCTGAGATGAACTAGCATTTGACACAAAAAGTGAGCAATTTGTAGTTTTTAAGTTTTATGCATCTGTGCAAACTCACTATGTTCATAGGTAGTCTGCTATGCTCTGGGCCATATGGTGACTTATACCAAATCTGATTATTTTCCCCTTTTTTCTCTGTGAAACAGAGGAGAATACTCCCTTACTGCTCTTCAGTACAACAATCTAGCATTTGTTCTTAGTCCCTATTTGCCTATTTCCATCATCTTCTCCCGGTTATATGCCAGGGCTGTTCTCTCTTGCCTACAAAGTCCCCAAAAGGGTCATTTGCATGGATAATCCAGATCAGCAAGTGCCATGGAAAGACAAAGCATAGAGAGGCCCTGCCAAAAAAACAGGTGAAGCAAAAAAGAAAATGTTCCTAATGCAGTGACAGGCACTTACAACCTTTATCAACATGACAACTAAATACCCAGTAAGATTAAGAAAGATTTCAAATGCTGGATAGTAAATCCTCAGGGTTGGCACTATATTTCCTCTAAGTTCTGAAAAGTTCCTGGCATGCCGCTGTGGGCGGCCTTCTTTGGGGATAGCTTAATGTTCCCCTTAATATCAATCACTGTACTCGATATTGCTCAATGATTTTTATTCACTGGTCTGAAGACCCTCTACAACAGAGAAAGGTGATCAGTGCTAGAAGCAATATATGACTAGTGAGCACCTAATGCCATTTTATTCAGGGTTTTCAAAACAATGGCGATTAAGAAAATCAAGGGCAGAAAAAGAAATTACCCCATACCTTGATGAGACAGGCATTAGTGACCAACTGCTTTGGGTCAACAACATCCACCAAGGGCTCTTTGATTGCCACATCTTTGATGCATGACATGTCAAATCCATATACGTTCTCCCACCCTGCAGTAAGAAACACAGAGTTTAGAAGGGGTTCAGATCCTGGAAAGCCTTTGCAATCACACTCACCCACTAACAATGTTCCCTTAAAAGAGTCACCAGGAAATATCTTTCCCCCATATGGATGATTCCTTATGTGCTCAAAGGGCCTGGCATCGTTTCTGGGAAAGAACTTGGTACTTACAGTGGATCTTGTAATCTTTGTACTGCCGATCTTCAATAGCAGTGATGTACAGCGTGGCACGGTCTGGAAAAATAAGTCCATCTGGGGTCTGGCACAAAATGGATGGTAAAAGAAAATCAGTCAGCCACAAAACAATGACAATCCTTTTGTTCGTGGATAATCTAATTTCTTTTTTTTAAGGACATGGGGACTGAGCAGAGGAGGGACACATAATATACATGTTAAAATTCATGTTTCTTACAATTATTTATACCCCAACTTTCAAAATAATAATATAGTACCGTAATACCCAAACGGCTTGCAAGCATTATAAATCATTCTAAATAAAAATAAAATAAGAACAACTTTCAGGATCCTTTCCATAGTACCATGAGTACTAATGACACTGTAAGGAGAAGGGGTAACTTAGAGAAGTTAACAGGAGCATTAATTATGAAAAGTGAAAATGAGTTTCAAATAACATTGCATATTCTGACTTCCGCACAAATTACAAAAAGCCATTTATAATTACTGATACATGTCTGTAGTTTGAAAGCATAATACATTAATAGTCTTTAAGTACAACACAGGTAACATTAATTCTCAGAGGTTGTCACTGTCAGAGGTCCTTAAGCTGGGGTTGAGGATTCTTTAGCCCTCCAGATGTTTAATTTAAGCCTAGTTTCCCTCCCTATTGACACTGTAATTAGATCTTCAGCAACATTCGGATGGCTACAGATGCCACAGCGTGTCCTAGTGTAGTAATAGTATTAGCATCCATAGAAAAGAAGTTTGCACTGAAAGATACCTCTGAACAAGCTACAGTTCAGAATCAGTGGTGGGATTCAAATAATTTAACAACCAGTTCTCAGCCCTAATGACTGGCTGGGTAGTCATGTGGCTGGGTAGGCGAGGCCAACTCGACATCACTTCTTTGCCCTAATAACTGGTTTAGCTATAAAGATATACAGATAACAGATAATCAGAGTTGGAAGGGACCTTGTAGGTCATCTAGTCCAACTCCTCACCCAAGCAGGAGACCCTACACCATTTCTGACAGATGGCAGTCCAATCTCTTCTTGAAAGTCTCAAGTGATGGCACTCCCACAACTTCCGAGAGCAAGCTGTTCCATTGGTTGATTGTTCTGTCAGAAAGTTTCTCCTTATTTCCAGGTTAAATCTCTCCTTGTTCAGTTTCCATCCATTATTCCTTGTCTGGCCTACAGGCGCTTTAGAAAATAGCTTGACCCCTTCCTCTCTGTGGCAGCCCCTCAAATATTGGAACACTGCTATCACGTCTCCCCTGGTCCTTCTATGCCAAAAGGTGGTTTATTATTTCATGCATTTATTACTTAAATAAGAACAATAAAAGAGGTACACAAAATTAGACTTTGTTACAAGAAAGTGTTTTACAATATTAATGAAAAACTATTAGATATTACCTGACAAAAACTAATAAAACTGTTATGCAAGGTATTTCCAAATGGCTGTCCGATTGGCGTCCTCACTTGCAATTTTCTTCAGTTTTACTCTAGCATCATTGGCTGTGTGATTTATTCTTAACCATTTTTTGACTGTAGGAATAGGGTCCCATTCCTTTAGAGGTAGGCCAATTAGACTAATAGTCATTAGGTTTGTTATATTAGAAACAGGCGATTTCTCTTCTCAGAACATATGTTCATTTTTGAAAAAACCCTTTCCACTTCTGCTGAACCTACAGCAATTGTTCTGACAATATTTTTAGGTTTTTGAATACTGTCATGAATTACATATTTCTGGGAAAAACATTTTCTACAAAACCTTGATAATCGTTAATATTTGGTAATTAAAAATGTCACTAAATAGGAGCAATTGTTCTTCAGCTGCTTTCCATGGAACTACTACTACTTTAATATTCCAGTAATCTGGCTCCAAAAAATTGAGAAATTGTAATTTATTCCTGTCTTGAAATTGGCTACAACCTGTTTTTAAATGTTCACAATCCATTAGTCTTTTATTCAAATTCATTATGTTTTCTAAAACTGTTTCCCAAGGAAGCCCAACAAATCGATGATTTTCTACAAATTTTATATTTTTGAAGGTTTCTGAAGAAATTAATTAATCAACTTTTTTTCATATACACTCTTTTCCTTTCTAAGCATTTCAAATGCTTTAATAGATCTTATCACAAGTTTTTCAGCCTTTATTATGTCTATAATTTCTTGCTTGCAATGCATTTGAAAGAGAATTTTCATTTAGCATGTCAATCATCAATGCCAAATCAGTCATAAAATATATATTTTCAAGACGGGCAGCCATACATAAGTACTTTTCATTTGAATGAAAATACTGATGTAGCGCTGGATAAGCGTGCCACACAGCTAGGGTTGACCTTAAACTACAGGCATCTTGGTCCCAAAACTCTACCAATCTTTATAATTTCAATTCCAAGTTGTTCGAATATTTTGGTAAATTCAATCTGGTTCTTATTGGATTGATGAAAAATTGTATATAACTTATTAATAAATATTTTAAAATTATTTACTTGCTTTATTTCCTTTATTGAATCATTTAAAATAAGTTGGAGGTGATGGTTTAAACCAGAGATCTCCAAACTTGGAGATTGAAGTCCACAAGTCTTAAAATTGCCAAGTTTGGAGATCTCTGGTTTAAGCAGTGCCATATTATGTTTGGAAACTCTTTTGCTATCCTTGTGCTTACCCCAGATTTTCTCCCAAGCATATCACTGGCACCACTGGAGCAAAATCCTATTAATTTTTTTTCTAAGTAGTTCTTAGTAAGCCCAACATTATTTAAACTTTCCATAACTAAAGAACACATTGTCTCTACATCTTGTTTTTCCAATTCAACTAGCTCAATGAAAATTGTTGGTGAGGTAACTGAATCCTCAACTTTTAAGAAAAATATAACAACTGGTTTGCAAGATATCATTGAAGCTTCGTCAATAATCAAACATATTTTCACATTATGCTTTGCAAATAGAAGGATCTCACTAGTGTGGTAAATTTTTAAGACTGAGGGGGATTGGTGTCCAACAAAATGGGGACAAACAAAAAAAGATATAGTCCAAAATAAGAAGTAATCTAATGCAATTCATAGGCACATGCACAGAGCAATACTGAATTATTTTTCTGAAATTTATTCCTGTTTAAAAAATGGAATGTATGAATTAGGTTCAGTATTGGGCTCAGCTTGTACTCAAGCCAAGTAGCGTTATTTTCTGAAAAACAAGTAATGATTCCATAGGATGGCTTTATTCATTCCTTTTCTTTTCAGATGCAGAGACAGATCCTGCAGAGGAAAGAACCCCAATCAACTGAGCCCATCACTAGACCAACTTTTGTAAGTTGAATATAAACTTAAAACGTATTTTAAAAATGGAAGTGGATATCAGCAAAAAAAAAAAGAAAGAGAAAAAAGAGGTTAAGCAAACTAAAATAAAGTTCATTTATAAAAGGTACCTATGCCAGTAATCCTGGAAACAAGACTTGTTGGGGGGGGGGGGGGGGGGGCAGCTGAGATTGGGGAAGGCTGTTGTGGTTAGCCGGCAACAGGTGCAGATGGCTGAGGAAAGTGAGGACTCAGATGAGGGGCCAGGACCATTAGGAGGAGAGCAAGGACTGCTGCCTTCAGAGACTGTGGGGGCTGGCAGCAGTGATGAAGAGGTTCCTGAGGAGCCTGTGCCAAGTGCGCGTGCACAAAGGATTGCTCAGAGGAAAGAACAGTTACAACAGCATGGGCAACTCAGGAGTAAGACTGCAAGGTAATGGCCCCTCCTTCAAGAAGATAAAAGCCAGCTGTGAAATTAACCTTTGCAGAAGGCAAAGAAGTTCTGAACTCAACTTCCTGGATATTACAGTTGGTATTTGAAACTACAGGTAAAACTCGAAAAATTAGAATATCGTGCAAAAGTTCATTTATTTCAGTAATGCAACTAAAAAGGTGAACCTAATATATGAGATTGACTCATTACATGCAAAGCAAGATAGTTCAAGCTGTGTGTGATGTGTCATAATTGAGATTATGGCTTACAACTCAAGAAAACCCCAAATCCACAATCTCAGAAAATTAGCATATTGTGAACAG